ACCAAACGAGAATATTCTCAATTAAATCATCAAAATTCGTCCCCTTAAATCAGCCAAATTGGCTACATATTTATAAGATCTAAAAAGACTCCTTTTTCACAAGGAAAAGGACTCTTACCTAATCTATAATAAGGAAACTAATAAATAAGAAAATCCTAGCCATAACTAACTCTAAAATAATATAAATATTATAAACCTAATATAAAAACGTAATTTAATAAAATCTAAACTCCAAATATCAAGTCGACGACACGAACATTCTTCATAACTCGAGTAGACATTTGGCTGTGCACGTGTCCTCACTTCAAGCTCGATTTCTGACCTCTTCCACTCCGAATCTCTCTCGGATCAAAACAGCAAAGTTTTAGATTTTTAAGTTGGCTTTCCGTAGCAATTTGAATCACCTCAATTGGACTTCAGATGAGAAAGTTATAAGCCAAATAGTGTACTCTGCCAGAATTATACGGGACTTTTCGGGATGCATGAAATTCGACTTGTCCAACGAATTTCCCTCTTCCTTGTCTTCCAATTCTTCGTCTTGGATGTAGTTAGGATCATATCAGATTTTTTATGGATTAATTTATATTTCTGTTTTAATTGGTGGATTTAGTATCTTATAGGTAAAAATTGCTAATTAGGTGTCCATGAAGCAAAAATGATCAAAGAGTAAGAAAAGAGTTGCAATTAGGAAAATAAAATAAAATTAGAAGAGAGGATCCCTCAACATCTTCGGTATTGTCCACGAAGTCGAGCATAACTTTCTCATCCGTACTCCAAATCAACTGGTTCCGGCGGCATTAGAAAGCTATTTTAGCTGGCTACAATTCCTGTCTAATGTCAAATTTCCAAATTCGGACTCGAACATGGTCAAAATTTGATTCCAAAAGCAATCATGAAAATACGTGCTACAGTTCGAGGACACGAATGCGCATCAAGAAACGTGCACAAAAACACTCGCTACAAAATATACGCACATAAGTAAAAGTACAAAAGCATGCACAAAAGTACTCACGCAAAAGTGCATTCGCAAAAAGGATCACGAAAACACAAACTACAATCCTAGGACATTAATACAAATCAACAAACATGCACAAACACACTCGCTCAAATGGAGATGCACAAACGTACATGTAAAAAAATATGCGCAAAAGTACATTTGCAACAACGTTCTTAAAAACACGAAATACAACACTAGGACTTTAATATGCATAACCAAACAATAGCAAAAACACTAAATACAAAAGATACAGTGGAGTGTAGAAATAACACTAAACGTTTACGTTTACGTGGATTTTTTTATGGATTAATTTATATTTCTGTTTTAATTGGTGGATTTAGTATCTTATAGGTACAAATTGATAATTAGGTGTCCATGAAGCAAAAATGATCAAATAGTAAGAAAAGAGTTGCAATTAGGTAAATAAAATCAAATTAGAAGAGAGTATCCCTCAACATCTTCGGTATTGTCCACGAAGTCGAGCATAACTTTCTCATCCGGACTCCAAATCAACTGGTACCGGCGGCATTAGAAAGCTATTTTAGATGGCTACAATTCCTGTCTAATATCAAATTTCCAAATTCGGACTCGAACATGGTCAAAATTGGATTCAAAAAGCAATCATGAAAATACGTGCTACAGTTCAGGGACACGAATGCGCATCAAGAAACGTGCACAAAAACACTCGCTACAAAATATACGCACATAAGTAAAAGTACAAAAGCATGCACAAAAGTACTCACGCAAAAGTACATTCGCAAAAATTATCACGAAAGCACAAACTACAATCCTAGGACATTAATACAAATCAACAAACATGCACAAACAGACTCGCTCAAATGGACTTGCACAAACGTACATGTAAAAAAATATGCGCAAAAGTACATTCGCAACAACGTTCTTAAAAACAAGAAATATAACACTAGGACTTTAATACGCATAACCAAACAATAGCAAAAACACTAAACACAAAAGATACAGTGGAGTGTAGAAATAACACTCAACGTTTACGTTTACGTGGATTTTTTTATGGATTAATTTATATTTCTGTTTTAATTGGTGGATTTAGTATCTTATAGGTACAAATTGATAATTAGTTGTCCATGAAGCAAAAATGATCAAAGAGTAAGAAAAGAGTTGCAATTAGGAAAAGAAAATCAAATTAGAAGAGAGGATCCCTCAACATCTTCGGTAGTGTCCACGAAGTCGAGCATAACTTTCTCATCCGGACTCCAAAGCAACTGGTTCAGGCGGCATTATAAAGCTATTTTAGCTCGCTACAATTCCTGTGTAATGTCAAATTTCCAAATTCGGACTCGGACATGGTCAAAATTGGTTTCCAAAAGCGATCATGAAAATACGTGCTACAGTTCGAGGACACGAATGCGCATCAATAAACGTGCACAAAAACACTCGCTACAAAATATACGCACATAAGTAAAAGTGCAAATGCATGCACAAAAGTACTCACGCAAAAGTGCATTCGCAAAAAGGATCACGAAAACACAAACTACAATCCTAAGACATTAATACATTTCAACAAACATGCACAAACACACTCCCTCAAATGGACATGCACAAACGTACATGTAAAAAATTTTGCGCAAAGTACATTCGCAACAACGTTCTTAAAAACACGAAATACAACACTAGGACTTTAATACGCATAACCAAACAATAGCAAAAACACTAAATACAAAAGATACAGTGGAGTGTAGAAATAACACTAAACGTTTACGTTTACGTGGATTTTTTTATGGATTAATTTATATTTCTGTTTTAATTGGTGGATTTAGTATCTTATAGGTACAAATTGATAATTAGGTGTCCATGAATCAAAAATGATTAAAGAGTAAGAAAAGAGTTGCAATTAGGAAAATAAAATCAAATTAGAAGAGAGGATCCCTCAACATCTTCGGTAGTGTCCACGAAGTCGAGCATAACTTTCTCATCCGGACTCCAAATCAACTGGTTCCGGCGGCATTATAAAGCTATTTTAGCTCGCTACAATTCCTGTCTAATGTCAAATTTCCAAATTCGGACTCGGACATGGTCAAAATTGGATTCCAAAAGCGATCATGAAAATACGTGCTACAGTTCAAGGACACGAATGCGCATCAAGAAACGTGCACAAAAACACTCGCTACAAAATATACGCACATAAGTAAAAGTACAAAAGCATGCACAAAAGTACGCACGCAAAAGTGCATTCGCAAAAAGGATCACGAAAACACAAACTACAATCCTAGGACATTAATACAAATCAACAAACATGCACAAACATACTCGCTCAAATGGACATGCACAAACGTACATGTAAAAAAATATGCGCAAAAGTACATTCGCAACAACGTTCTTAAAAACACGAAATACAACACTAGGACTTTAATACGCATAACCAAACAATAGCGAAAACACGGAATACAAAAGATACAGTGGAGTGTAGAAATAACACTAAACGTTTACGTTTACGTGGATTTTTTTATGGATTAATTTATATTTCTGTTTTAATTGGTGGATTTTGTATCTTATAGGTACAAATTGATAATTAGGTGTCCATGAATCAAAAATGATCAAAGAGTAAGAAAAGAGTTGCAATTAGGTAAATAAAATCAAATTAGAAGAGAGGATCCCTCAACATCTTCGGTATTGTCCACGAAGTCGAGCATAACTTTCTCATCCGGACTCCAAATCAACTGGTACCGGCGGCATTAGAAAGCTATTTCAGCTGGCTACAATTCCTGTCTAATGTCAAATTTCCAAATTCGGACTCGAACATGGTCAAAATTGGATTCCAAAAGCAATCATGAAAATACGTGCTACAGTTCGAGGACACGAATGCGCATCAAGAAACGTGCACAAAAACACTCGCTACAAAATATACGCACATAAGTAAAAGTACAAAAGCATGCACAAAAGTACTCACGCAAAAGTGCATTCGCAAAAAGGATCACGAAAGCACAAACTACAATCCTAGGACATTAATACAAATCAACAAACATGCACGAACACACTCGCTCAAATGGACTTGCACAAACGTACATGTAAAAAAATATGCGCAAAAGTACATTCGCAACAACGTTCTTAAAAACAAGAAATACAACACTAGGACTTTAATAGGCATAACCAAACAATAGCAAAAACACTAAATACAAAAGATACAGTGGAGTGTAGAAATAACGCTAAACGTTTACGTTTACGTGGATTTTTTTATGGATTAATTTATATTTCTGTTTTAATTGGTGGATTTAGTATCTTATAGGTAGAAATTGATAATTAGGTGTCCATGAAGCAAAAATGATCAAAGAGTAAGAAAAGAGTTGCAATTAGGTAAATAAAATCAAATTAGAAGAGAGGATCCCTCAACATCTTCGGTATTGTCCACGAAGTCGATGTGACCAAGGTCCGGCCCACGGCCGAGGAAAATTTGGCCGGCACGCCTCCTTTCAATCACCTTGCCATGATCCCTTATGAGCCCGTGAGCCCAGCCACGAGCATACGCCCAGCTGATCACGCTACTCCCGGCTCTATCACTGATGAACCTTCGGCCTCGTGGCGATCGAGCCTAATTGATGCTGAGCGTTGGCGTTTGCAGAATGCCGAACGTTGGCATGCGGAAGAGGCCCACCTTATTGGTAACTCATTCTTTATCACATCTCGGAAATCTTCAGATGGGTCGCATTCACCCTCTTCTTGATGTCGGGTAAATTCTTGGTGTGGAATGCAAGGGGGGTAAAAAATAAGGCGACCCAATCCCACTTGCGCTATATTTGTCGCCAACATAGAGTTAATTTATTGGTTATTTCTGAACCTATGACTGAGTTTGTACATGATTACTATTGCCGTCGTTTGGGTTTCGTTGCTGGTTTGTCTAATTGTGCGGGGAAGATTTGGATTTTTTGGGATCACAATTTTCGAGTGGAGTTGCTTAGGGATGAGGTACAATTATTGCATGTTAGATGCATATCTGGTTTATTTGGTGCTCCTTTTGTATTTACTGCAGTCTATGCTAGATGCTCTCGTTCCGAGCGCCGTGTTTTGTGGAATTCGTTCCGCGACATTTTTGAGACGATTGGTGACACTCCTTGGATTTCTGGGGGTGACTTCAACTCAATCTTACTTGAGTCAGAACGGAATAGATCGGTTTCGGATAGGAGACTAGATATGGCTGAGTTTGGTGCTATGGTTTCCGATTGTGAACTTTCGGATGCCGGG